TCGACGCTAGTTTGTAGCCATCGATCCCCCTTTCCAAGAAGTGAAATGGTCAGGTTTGAAGTTGTGATAGAATTTTAAGAAACTCCCGTTTCTCACACAACTCCACGAAATTCGTTTTCGTCAAGTGTTTCCGAAGAACAGCCAGAACGAAATAGATCGTAAGAAGATTCGATTTTATGCTTTAATAAACACTAAAATATGTACAGAAATGCATGAACGAACAGTTTAAACTTTCTTACATTACTACAAAACTCTATATTATTCATAGAAACAACGTATAATATTCGTAAACAGTACTTTCAACGAAACTTGTATGAACAAAGATAGAGTTCCGTTTGATTTTAAAAAGAACTTTTAATATAATTACCTTGTATTTATTCCTTAATTTTTCTGCATTCGATAAAGAACAAACAAATCTCCTTTGATGTAGCGCTTTATCAAAGAGTTACGCTTGAGCAAACATTTACAACATCTTGCCAAGGCAACATCTTTAAAGGAAACTGTACTTAAACACTAGTAAAAAAACAACACACAAAATTTCACAATACTTAAATCATTTCCATGTACAAAGTAAAAATCATTAACAAGACAAATTATCGCGACTGCTGCACGAAATTCCATCAGAAACGAGCTACAATAAATATATTAAATAATAAAAAAAAACAAGAATAATAATAAATAAATTGCTTTTGAAAATCATTCGAAAGTACTTTACTTTTTTGGTAATGTATTATGCAGTTACAGCTGTTCGACTGAATGAAGTACAGTAATACGAACACGTGAAAAATATGATTGACTATTGTTTAATTTTATATAAAAATTCGTCACACTTTCGAATGTTTGTTTATGGAAATTATAGTTTAAAATAGAGGAATTTTACCATTTATTCGATAGAATATAACGAGAAGAAAGCGAGAAACATGTTGCAAATTTCAGATCCAAAACAATTCTTCATCCCATGGTACTACATAGAAACATTTCTGACTGAATAATACTGAAGAAATTTGGCATATCTTTTGTAAAAATGGTAACATATTCTATCTTTATAATAAATAAGAAACACCACGATGATATTTCATGTTTTAGATAGTATAGAAGGAAGTTGAAATGTTTTCCATTTCACCAGTCGAAGAGAGTGTCGACCGCTGACAATTAACGGTAATCGATAAGGGTGGACGGTAATTACCATAATTAAAATGTCTGGAAAAATATGTCCTCTAACGATTTTCTTTTCCTCCGTCCCTTTACTATTATACTCATAAATTACAATATAATTATAATGGACTTGCTAAATTTCGTGCATCCGACACAGCGTGGCTTTTTGGCATTGTAAGTAATCTGTTACCCGAAAGTAACGAAACAGAAGAATTAAGTTTCGGATTTTACCTTTCGCATGCTCACTACTATTAGAGAAAACACTGTCAACTTGCTCTGTGTAACGGTAACTCGATTGGAGAACCACCATTTTAATTCGTATATTTTAAAGAACAACTAGAAGTTTTGAACTGAATTTAGAAACAGGATCGGTCATATTTAAATAATTTATAATAAAATGGCTGTAATATTTGTCGTTACGACTTGGAAATAAGAGAAAATTTCTGTCTTGAAGCGTCACCAACGGAAATTCCTGGAGGATCAATTACTTGGTAACAAGAGAGACTCTGATTTAAAAGGAAAAAAGAATTTATTTCTATTATCGAACTAACGGATATTAATTGTTCTCTGACCTCCTCCTGGGTCTCGGAGCTGTTAGGTCTCTACTTTTAGAGGTCGTCGACATTTCCGCCGGGACACAACTAAAAATGGTAAAGAATTCTTCCATAAACTTCTCCAATACCCAAAGCTTTTATATAACTTGAAGATTCTTCTCAATTTATGTGTGGTAATGGGTCGTTATCGAACAAACGTTTAGTTTCCTTAAATAGATGTCACGTGGAAAGTTTTATACGTCACAACATTCCCTTCGAGTCCTACAAAATTCCCCCAAGTGACATGATTAAAGATAAGAATAGATGTTCTTCTAGCATTGAAAACGAATTGATCTCAATTCTAATATTGTTTTAATAGATTATTAATTGAAAAATAGAATTTCCTTTAAAGTTTTTATATAGATTTTTTTAAATAATTGAAGCATAAATTCAGTGCATGATGATAAAACTGAAATTTTAAACAACGCCAAAGCTTCACTGCAATGCTCATGGTTAATAATAGAAAGAGGCACGATGCATACTTTAATAAACATTCAGAATTTAATTATTTTGCAATATCAATCTAAAATAAATCAATAATAAAAAGTAATTTTATACCGATGAAAGATTTTTTTTTTATTTGAAGAATTGATTTGATTAATTATTCCCATAGACTGCCACTGTCCCACTTGATAGTAAATAAGACAAGTCAAGTATATATGGCATTAGACACGGAAGATATCTGAATAAAATTGATAGAAACCCGTCAGCGATAGTTCTGTGATCTTATTGATTTAATTTCCAATTGTCGTAGGCAAACTTACATTCTAATCAGTATACTTGGCGAAGTTATTTGCATTTCTCGACCCAGTGGCTGTTCGAGTAAGTATAGAAAATTGGTAAAATGTAAAATAATGAAGGTACGACTTAAAATTTAATGGCTTATATTACTATAAAATTCCTATAATTTTTTTTTATTTGTCTGAGAGTATTATAGGAGACAGAATGCCCTCAGACAAAGTTTGTAACATAAATTATCTAATGAATCTGTTTCTAAGATTTTTTCCTAGAATCTGCTGGATTTTCTATTTGTGGAATGGCAACCTTTCAGAATTTGTCAACCCTTATTTCATAAATAAAGAAATTTGAAATTTTGTTCTGATTAAATAATATAATTCACTTTTATGTATTAGAACTTAAGCAAAATCAAATGAAATGATTATATAGTTTTCTAGGATTCATTACTTCATTCAAATTACATGTTATATATATCAAGTGGAAGACTAAGGATTTTTAGGATCCTGTGCACAAAGTTGACTGACTAGTCAGATAACCAATACTATAGAAACTTGACATAGAATCAGATGGGCTGAAGTGTAAACTAATCGTAAGACTGGTTTTGGTTTATAAAACTACTACCAACATTTTATCATATCCAAAATACATCTTCAAGATTTGTTGGTGATTCAAATGTTTACACAATTGCTGAGATATGACTTTTATTCATTCTGACTTGTGAGCATGCACAAGAGCATTCATTTCTTTCAGAAGCGGTAAGAAAGCAAGCTAACATGTAATTATGATTTCATCATTAATTGGTTTGACAATGTAACAATGAGCTAATTTGTCAAATTTATTGAAAGATTAGATTTTTGTGACACTATTCATTTGAACAAATTTATGACTTATTGGTGGCCATGTCACTACTAATAAGTCAAAAATTTATTCAAATGAGGTAAATTCATTGTATTGTGATTTTGAGCAACAAAATGTTGGTGGTAATCATATTGTGTAAACCAGTCATTACACATATTCAGTTTTCAAACAATACTGTTACTGGAGTTTCTGGAAAAGTGGAATGACATGCCCAATGACTTGTGTATTTCATATGTAGCATATTAAAAGAATAAGTCTAATGGATTGTAAAATAAGACATTCCTCATACAATAGATATAGTTGACCTTTGAGTCTTTCTAAATATAAACACTTCTATATATCTTGTGCCAACATTTAAGAAAGGCAGAAGAAAAGGCCCAGAGAGTGAAAAATATGAATGAGAGAATGGTAAGGCAGGCAAAGCAAAAGTAGTTTACACTTTTATTGAACTTTTTATTTTAGTGAAAAATAAGTCATGCAGGACATAGAAGACACAGGGCCTAGAGTTTATCAAATTGGGAACCCCTGTAATAATGGGATCCTATGCATGTGTACAGTCTGCATATTTAGTAATCTGCCCTATTTATATATCTAGTGTGACGTTCAGTTCTGAAATTTGATTTATCCTTAGTAGAATTATTTAATTATTAATACCTTAATATACTATTGATTATATTAGGTACAATTAATTTCTACATCATTTTCTTGAAGATATAAAGATCAGATATTTGCAAATTTATTTTAATCAATAAGTTTCATTAATTTACTTAATCATTGCAATATTTTTAATTTTGACTAAATAATGATTTACTAGTTATTTTAATTAGAACTAAATTAGATGATGAAAATATTAAAGATTAATAACTTTTTAATCTCAAAAAGATTATTTATTTTCCTTATTACCGATAAATTAAAATTCTAATAACAAGAATTGACAGTATTTCTTATCTTTCTATTTTAGAGCAAAATATAATTAATAAATTCAGATATTTTTACTAAATAAAACTTTAATTCCAGCACAGTCTAATTTTTATTCAAAACAAGTGTTTTCNACCCCCCTATAACACTGTTGATTTTTCCGTTTTATATGAATTCCATGTTGTACGAGTCACTTAGATTTTACAAATACGTGTGCTGGGCTGTGAATGGCTCACGTATTTATAAAATCTAAGTGATTCGTACAACATGGAATTCATATAACACGGAAAAATCAACAGTGTTATAGGGGGGTCGACTTGTATATAGAATCAAACAAACAGATCAATTTAAATTATGCGTGGCCCCACAAATTCATTTAATAATAAAATTTAATTTTCGGCATTTATAAAATAGAAATCTTTGCTAGAAATCTGTTTAAAGATCGTAAAACGTTCACAGAATTATTGTTAATAATAATACAACTAAAGCTAATTATCGTTGTAAAAGCCATATTAAATTGATATTGAATAATAGCGATTCGCAATAGATTATTGTGTTGATCGTAGTGTATTGCTTGGAGCAATACACTATATGACTCTACAGTGATATTGTAGATGAAACTCAATACAGGGAATTTCCTAACTGTTCTAGCTACTTGGATTGTGAATAACTGTTTGTAATAATAAGAAACAAACGAGATTTCATAACAGATTTTTTTTTCTTTTTTATTTCCCGTTAATACATTCGCGTAGGCGATTTACTTTCTTTCCACAAAAATATACATACGAAAACAAATATATTCGTATTTTGGCGCTCGGCCCGGCCGTAACGGACTCCGACCCGCGGGTGCGCCATGATCCGACCGACTTCCCGAGCCGGACGGTCCCGCCACGCTCGGGAAAAACAAATTTAACAAAACATAAACGGAACTTTCTGTCCGTTGGTAGACGCCCCGCACCCTCCCTGCCACGGCAGCTTCCCCCGCCGAAAGTTTACGTACGTATTCAAACCCGGGTGGCCAGTAGCCGAGAGAGGGCGCGTAGCGTGGTTTGATGAAAGGCGCCCCCATACCTATGAGCCGGGAATTCCCGCGCGGTCCGGTACGACCAGTCGAAATTGTTTAATGCGTGGTGTGACGTCGGCGGTCTCTCCGATTCTCCAAACTCCGTCGGGCTGGCTGGGGAAGCCGCCGATTCGACGTCGAAGAGATAGACCCGGCTTCACGTGGTCCCACCGTCTTCCGTTTTACAGACAAGCGATCAACACTCCCACCATCAGAATCCACAGGATTTTGGCTAGTGGAGGACCTCGGTTTAAAACTGAAATTGCGTAAACGGGGAGTGTGAAAGTACTGCCAATGATGACCGATACTCATGCAATTAACTCTTAAAAATGAATATCTAATGAAAAATTTAATACCTTTTCCTCCGTTATCGAGAACGTGCAAGCCAGAACTCTGCTGATTTCCTCCCAGAATCATTTCTTTACTGCTACTATTGAAGACCTTAGAAAGAGTTGCCGTGCATTTCAACCTCATCTCCCCTCTCTTATAATGCCTAGGCAGAACCATGAACCTCAGACCCAAAATCGACGACTCCTGTCCATCCGGATAAATCACTGTTGGGTATCTGGTCACGTTTTCCGATTTAATCTGCAATGATAAATGACAATTTATTAAAGGATTTTCGGCGAGTTCCTCTAATATAATGAAATTTTCAACTTCGGATTTGAAATTATGTGCGTTAACCAAGACACAAGAGATCGATCATAGGAAAATACATGCAAATATTGTGTAAAATATTTACATTACAATGTGATACAATTTACTTTTCTCGTTGAACTTGAGATTTTAAGAATCTCTTCAGAAGTAGTGTAGATGTTATTAAATGTAAAGGAAACACTTGAAGATTTGTATGGAGAATTTCTCCAAAATGACAAATCCTTAGCTCCTTTCATTCCGTAGGCATTTGTATATAATTTTAAAAAGATTTCATAAGCGATTTTCATGCTTTTAACGGTTGAGTAGCGTTATGCAAAACCAAATACATTGCCACTTCTAGTATTGTTGTTAAATTACAGATGAAATTGATACGTGGTGTTTTCGAAGTAGTTATTTTGTAAAATGTGGGTGGGTTTCGATTACTTCTTGTGATATCGACGAATAGTGACAACGCTTGTCTACCAACAGAATTAATTGTCTATTGGCGAGCGGAGATGTCGATGTGTGACTGTAACGTGACGAGTGTGTGGAACGACACGCGTGTATATTTCTACGGGCAGTTGATTGATAAATGGAATGAAAATTGTCAGAAATTGAGAAAAGCGATCTTTCTCACGTACTTCTGCATTATCGAAAATGAATAATAGAAAATAAAAAATACTTACTTTATGCAATTTTTTCAACCATTACGTAGTCATTAAGCGTGTAAAGAACTGTATTACTTAAACATAAACATACAAAAGAGTTATGGAAACCGGATTCCGGCATTAAAATTTACAAAAATTTCAGAATATTCTGAGAAATAATTACAGGTATATACATACTAAGAAAGCAATGCGGGAAGGAAAACAGTGGACACTAGTAACAAAAGTGTAGACCCCCCCAATCACAAAATATGTAACAATATACGAAGTAAAAGGGCCAACTGGGAAGAAGAATAGAGATTGTTAGAATGTTTAGACAATGAGGACCATTCGAGGAGGAAGAAACTAGTAACAAAATGTATGTTCACTAAGAGGACCATCGTTAACAATAGACACTAGCGAACAGAAATTCGAATTCTTCTCACGGGAAACACTTCGCTTCCATATCAAAGATAAAGGTAATCGGAGTCAAAGGCATTTTTTTAATATAACAATTTTATATTTGTCATATAATAATAATTTTTAATTATATATAAATAAATATAATTCGTTGCGTGACGTGTGTAATGTTTTCACTCGCACCAATATGCAAATTAGTTGAATATAAAGCATTAACGCTTGTAACCGCATTGTTATGTTTTTATTTTTAGAATCGATTTTTATAGTATGTTTTAGTTTGAAATATACTTTATAATTAAGCGTTTGTATGAATTTTTTTTTCAATTTTAACTAACTTTAAGTTATACATAATTTATATAAAGTATAAACACTCATAATGTAGTGTTAATGGGTCTGTATGGCGAGTTGAAAGCGTGGTTAGTATCTAATAACCGGATCTGGTTCAAGGACTATCGATACATAGTACTTGTCCCAAACATATAGGCTAATTTTAAGTTTATTTTTATAGAATTCGGTTTAAAATAGATAAATAATCAAGTGAAACTATTGAACAAATACAAATATTCGAGACTATTTTACTTATTAAAAGTAGAAATAAACGTTTCATATTCTAACGAACATAAGTAGTCCTCTGCGCTTTACGCAAGAGACAAGTAGAAATAGATTTATTAAGCTCTGATTGGTCCGATTAAAAGAGCTTTGAAGAAATCGACCTATCACAGCTACGTTTTTATTATTTTAACGTAATTTTTTTTCCTCAACGATTAATGGCATTTACTTTAAAAATATATAAAATTTTAGACGAAATAAATAATAAACATTATTTAAAATTAAATTATTTTTAGGCAAATTTACTTAAAGATTATAATATGAAAAAAATAAATGAATAAGTAAGAAATAAAATAAACTTTTACTTAGTAAATAAATCATACTTTGTTAGTCAAAAACGAAGTGTAAGTCGATGAAGACGTCATTAAAACTAAAATTATAAATAAAATAAAATAAAAATAATGAAGACCCTTTTATTCTACATTATATTGTATCTGTTAAAACCTTTACAACTAAAAAAAAAAAAAAGATATTCTTGGTATTTAATAGCATTTCCTCAATTAATTTCCATATTTTCAACCTGTGTTGTTTACCAGATAAATAGGTATGAATAACGGTAGATCGGGATCTACCAGTTAAGAAGTTAAAATATAATTATTGATAAGTAATATCCATCGAAGTGTATTAATTTTAAATCATGTGTTAATGAAATTTTGAAAACTTTTACTCCTTTTTTTTCCTTCTAAAAACTGACAAAAATGTATCAAGATTTATGAATTTATGAAAGAATATTGTCATAAATATTATTTATTATTATATATAATATTTAAATGTAAACATAATAATGACGGATTATCCATTACATGTAAAAAGACTTAGAAGTGTTTTATAAGAGCTTTACTTTTTTCATATTTGTAGAGTTTACAAGGCAATCTTTGAATAAAAAAAAAACACATCCCCTATGTAAAACATGTAAGTAGAGGATTTTCAAGGAAGAGAATGGAGTGCTTTTCAAGAAGATGAATTGGTAAAAGCCTTGAGAACGTTTGAAACAAAAAGCTCTGTTATGAAGTAGAATTCAGTCCTTTTTTTCCACTGAGTTAAAGTATTAAATGTCTCTCTGTATACTTCTACTACTCCCATAATGTATCATATTTAAATATTTTATGATATTTAAAATATATATTTTAAAGATTTTAGATTATATTTCTATTTAAAATAAACTGTTTCGAGTATCTATTTAGCTTTTAATTCTAATTGATTTTTATAAATCAATTATATCGAATCGTACGTTTACGTCAGAATACAGAGGTTGCGGCTGACGTTTTCGACACGAAAACGTGTACGTCGGACGTTCAGCGCCGCCTTGCTGTGAACCTAGAAGTTTGAAAATGACGTTCGGAACGTCGAGCACGATTCTACTGACGTTCCAAACGTCATTTTCAAACTTCTAGGCTCACAGCAAGGCGGCGCTGAACGTCCGACGTACACGTTTGCGTGTCGAAAACGTCGGCCGTAACCTCTCTAATGTTGTAATCTTTTACGTCAATTCGACGTCATTTTACATTTCACCGTTATAATGCTTGTTCGTTTGGTTGAGACGTCAATTTTACGTCATTTTTTTTCGTTTGTGGGGTGAAGAGATGACGTGAAATTGGCGTTAAAGCGCACACTTTCTGGACGAAATTCAACGGGCTATAATACAACGAATATATAAAATATAATTAGGTAAATGTGAAAATTATTAAAAATTACCTTTTTATCATTGATAAACCATCGCAATTCAGCAGGAGGACGAGATTTGACTGCTGTACAATTGACATCCACGTGCTCTCCTATCTGGTAGCGAAGTTTACCTCCCGTAATGGTCACTGCTTCTCCGCTCACTCCTGCTATTCAAATAAATTCAATTCAGTTTTTTTACCTTTCGGGCATGAAAATTAAATTACCTTTTTAAACCGGACACGGAGATTTCCGTGTTAAAAGATATATCAACCGATTAAAACGGATACAGGATAAGTCTGTGTATAGAATTCTATCAGTAGAAATATACGTATTAAGTTTAAAATCTTTGTCCTTTTACAAAATAGGATAATTTAAAACCAAAAATTCTAAGTAATTTCCGAAATTTCCATGTATTTTCACTCTATCTTCCCAGAAAATTCTTGATTTTTTAGGGAAAATTCGCTGTGCTCTTCGTTCTCTTTTCAGGAACAATTAAAAAGAGAAGGAACAATATCACTGGATATCTTTAGAGATATTTAGACAGATGTAACACACCTTAAAGAAGGAAAAAGTTGCAAAAAAACAAGGAAAAGGAAGATCTAGAACAGAGTACTTTGATGACTTCAAAGAAACGAGATGCAATTAAACAGGTAGCTATGGAAAGGAAAATGCTAGGAATGTAACAAGATGCCCATTAATCTATGGGTAAGGGCGAGAAAGAAGTTAAACTACTTTAGACAGGTCGTTTTGAAGATAATTTTATAGATTTGTTTGGAAATTTTCAAATGGATTTGGAAAGAAAACGAATCGTTACGAATTAAACTATTTACTGCAAAATAAATTATATCTTAATACTTTAATTATAATCGCATTAATTATTATTAATATACTAATATAATTCTTCACTTTTAAATTTTAAAAATTAAAAATTTTCCATCCATATGGATTAGGACGATGATAATATGGATATATTATCATGGACGTAATCGGATTTATCGAGTAGTCCCCCCCCTTTTCTATCGAAGAATTGGATAAAAAGTACAGTACAGTACATGTAGTAAATTTAGAATTTCCTTACTCTCGACCGATAGCGATCTTGGCTGCCCATTAATCCTATAAACTCTCATTCTCAACGTTGTCGTTATCGATTCGAGTACGTCGACGACCTACCATAATAAAAAAAGCCACCGATTATGTGGAGATTTATCAAAAATTCGAAAAAAAAAACACAAAAACTGAAGAGATCTTTGGCAAAAAAGCTAGTGATTTGTGGCAGTAACGGTTGTTTCTTTCCTTGTCGACAAGAAAAACTGGAGTAGGGTGTAAACAATGGCTAAAGCCGTGACGAGAAGCGCGAAGTGTATCGCGTCATTTACAAGGAGAACAAATTAAAGTGCATCCGGAAGCCAACATCTCCCATGGATGACTGCCAAATGCCGCGCAACGTTCTCGCGAGACGCATTACCCTGCGAGAAGAGGATGGGAGTGCTCGACGGAGCTTGACGACTTCGCTAGAGTTTTACCCCACTGGTCCTCCTCCCTAGAGTCGAGCGCGGTCTACTCTAATGCAGCAACATCTAGAAGATGTCTTCATAACCACTTCGCCTTTCTTCTACTCGTAAATTCCGACTTGGTCTCCTAACTTTTCTCTCTTCTTTCGATCACCATTCCACAAATTACTGTCTGCTCTCGGGTTCGGAATTAACCACCAACCAAATTTTTTTAAAATGTCTTCCTTCCCTCCCCCTTTCTACATATTACGCGGAGAAAATGAACTTCATAAATACAGATTTTGAACCAAAATAGAAAAATCATTAAGCTACGTAATGTCCTTACAACCTTCGTTAATGTTCGACGTCATTTCGAACGTTCGAAATTTATTACAGTACAATGTCCGATCTCGATACGGAGCGGTTGTTAAAGAGAATTTTATAAACCCTTTTCACATGGCTTGTACGCAATTGATTTTTTTTATAAAATCTCGGATTTTCTCTGCGATTTTCTGCTACATTTTCGACTTTAATGTCACCGAAAAGGTAAAAAAACACTCGATAATGGTAGGCAATTCGTGGCTCCAAGGTCGTTGAAATTTCCTTTTTCCCTTTCACCCGAGTGTTTCCATGCTTTGAATAATAAAATAATGAATCGTTTTCCTGGAAATTCCTTCGAGTGAATGGGAATTTATCCCCGTATTTGGTTCGATCACGCGCCTATTTCTATACACGAAATTTGTGTTTACCGCTGCGGCAAATTCCCACGTGACCGGAAAACATTTCGAAACTCAAACGGCGTGACCCCCTCTTTTTTTTTTAACCTTATGTCCACACTTACATCACAGGAAAATATCCTTCTATTACTTGGAGATTTTTCTATTATATATTTTAAAATGGGGAACCCTGGGTTGTTGTATCCCTTGTAAACATCATTTTTATTGATTAAAATATGAATTGTATTGTAAAATATCTCTTATTTTCAATATTTTAGCAATGTTTTTGTAGTAGTATAGTATAACAGGTTTCTGTTTTCTTCAATTTTAAAGATAAATCTCTACAATTGAGAATGTTTTTTCAAGAGCTAAAAGAAGAGTTTCTCAAATTCTAAGTTGGAAAAATGTATATAAAATTTAATACAGAGTTTTATGAAAAAATGATTTATTCATGCAATTTTTCAATCAAATATATTTTACGTGCGACATCATAAAGAAACTATAATAGTCCTTATAAAGATATTCCTAGTAATCTGGTACGAACGACGACGATCTGTTACAGTGATGTTATTCTTTCCATCTGAGACTTCATACGCGAGATTTCCTTCAGTTTCCGCAAGAAAAATTTTGGAAAATGTGGTACTGCCAACAAAATGAAGGTGCAGAGAAGCGAACGATGAAAAGAAGTGCCTAGAAAGTGTCCCAATTGAAACCAATATTGGGGAAGAGCGTATGAATAAAAAGCGAGTAGATGGAGCGTGTCAAATCGGGTGGCAGTAGCCATATAAATTTTAGAAGATACGAGCTAGAATGAAGTGAGAAATAAATTTCCATTTTTATTTATAGTCGTAGAGGTGATAAAATTGAATTATCTTCTACCCTTTCCTAATTGCTTCCTTTACTCGGAGCTTTAAGCATTATATACAGATTAGTGAAGGTGATTAAAGTCGGCTTCCCAAATTTTCTCTAATCGAGTGTACTTAACAGTCTTCTTCTTCCATCCACTAAAAACCTATTTAACATCGAAATTTCTCTCTACCATCCAATTCTTTCTCTAACCGATTCGTTGGAAACGAGGAAAATATCTCAAATTAGATCACTTCTGAACCCTGCATCGTTCACTTCTGCTTGCAAAGTCGTTTTTTCTTCCATCCCTCCTAAAAAAATCATTCTCGTAGTTCAACTAAATTATGTCTCCACACCGAATTTTGGTCCTAAATAAATAAATTTAAAGAGGAAACCGTAATTACTTTCGTACAATTTCCTTCTCATCCTCTTAAATCTTATGGATAAAGATGAAGGAACGAATTGTTTCAATCCTCTTCCCATTCTCCTCCCAAAACTTTATCCATGTAGATACGAATACGATATTATTTAATACGTTACTCTTTGTTTATACACTAAGTTTTCTCTCATTTTGTAACGATAAGCACTGAATATTATACTTATGTCTTCTGGAGAAAAGATTTTGATGTAAATTAACCATAAATCCTTTGGGCGTAACATTAAATCTGCGATAATCGTAGAGTTAATGTTACGCCCTAGGATTTATGGTTAATTTGTAAAATAGGTGTAATTATTAACATTAGCATATAATAAAAGTGAAGATTCTCAGTTAGATGTTGTAAAATTTTTCATATATTCATTCGACGTTGTTTTACGAGACAGTTCTATGGCCGTTTTTATGATGGAAATGTAACATAACTGTATAGATTCACTTCATAATTTTAAAAATTCTTATCCCCCCCTCATTACATTGCTTAATGTAAAATTATTCTTTAATGATTTTCTATTGAAAAGGATGTTGCTACAAGCTTTTATCAGTCGATAATTTTCGGGTTTCATTTTATTTATTCTTGTTCCTTGTCTGTCAAAACGTTATGAAGTACAAAATAATTATCGATGAATAAAATTCTTTGTTAATTTTTCACAGAACAAAAGATGGCGTATCAATTTGATCCATCAATTTCTTAAAATATTAGTTACGAATGACAGATTTGATTAATGACATCGATTTAGATCACACCCGACGATAAGAAAAACGGTTTTTTTTTTTTTGGTGTGTGTTTATAAAAATTAAACAGTAAAAATATAAAATATTAATTAAAATTCTGATGGAAATTTTAAACGAAAATACATTAGATTATTGGAAAATTTGTCTAGTGTTTTCTTAGAATACTTCGCTCGTTCCTTTCTGTTCGACCGGTCGCAGTAGAGCAGTCGGTTAGGTCACTCGCCTACTGTAATTAGTTAATTACTATCTATTGTTACTGGAGTGATGACGTAATTAATCTACACTCCCTACTCTATAGAGTAGTCAGCCGAATTCGCCATAGTATCAAAGAAATTTACAAAATTGAACTTACCCGAATGTAATCCAGAGGCTCTGGCATTAGTAGAAGCCACTATTTCTACACTGCTCTTGGCATATACTTGAGACATCAACGACACGCACCTCAATTTCATGGTACCGTTCCAGAAGTGTTTCGAATCCGCGACGAATTTAAGACCCAAACGAGAACTTTCCAATCCGGAAACGTGCAACAAGGGCGGATAATGTATCTGAAAATCCCTGCGAGCCTGAAAAAAAAAGAAACAATAGATATATACATCGACTCCACCGCAAAGTTTAGACAATGGTACAGTAATCTATTCACTTACCTCTTTGTCGTTGATGTACCATTTCAATATGGCGGCCGGCTTGGATAGAGCGGAAGTGCAAGTGACGTTAACTTCTTCGCCACTTCTATGACGAGAGTGAGCTCCCGAGACCGTTGGCCCGTGTTCGGGCAAAACTGTCGAAAATAAGTCATATTAGTGTTACAAAATTTCCAGTAGAAGTAAAACGAAGCGGTTTTCAAGATACTAAAAGTTGGTGTGGGAAAGAAGAGTCGTAAATTAATTTAAACTCGCTTACCATCCGCAGAGGGATGTAAGGTAGAAAAGGTGAAAGGAAGGAAATTTATGGGAGGAAGAGAGAGAGATAGGTCTAAGAATAGCTACACAAGAAGACAATAGCGTGGAAGGAACAGGTTTCGAGTTTTCTCGAAGCAATTCTGGAGGGACGAAGACAGCTTCTTAGTACGATGGAAAACACTCTCGGTTATCCGCCGTGGAAGTAGAAGATAAGTAAAATGCATCTAGAAACAGTCGGTAGAGCTATTCCCGGGGGGACGGAAAGCGCTTTTAGATTTGTCGCGTCCGTCCATCTGTCCGTTACTGTCAATAACGGAATTCTTTGATTTACTCAAACGATGAAAGGGTAATTCTCTGAAAGAAAAACCGGAAGAAGGCAAAAGGTCTTAACTTCCTCTAGAATTTCGTCCCGACTTTCCGGAATTTTTTTCAGTCAATGGAAAATGTCAAATAACTTCCGTCCAAAGCTTCGACCGAGATCGAAATTTATAAAATCTCAGTTGACCTCCACACACGGCCGAAAAAATGTCGGTAAAGGTAAATTATAACTAAGTTTTGCTACCGGAAGTAGAAACGAAAAATAGGTGTGCCACGTTATCCGTAAGTCGGAGGTATCACGGAATCTCTCGGAGGGTAAAGGAGACGGATGAGAGTCGTAAGCAATAACCTCCATCCGATTTGTGGAAGCACGTTAACTGTTCGACCTCTGCAAACAAAGTGATATTGCCGGAAATCCTACGATTGTCGTTTTATCCGCCATTTGCGGACCGAATTCGTGTCGCTAGACATCGATCGTCTAGATGTTTGCCAGTTTTTCTCCCGGAATAAAGCCGGCTTGTTTGCCAGCTTAAGTGCCTGGAGATATGGTCAATAAGTAGAGAAAAATTGTACTTTCCCTACAGGAAAGTTTAAAGTAGTCTTTCCGACTTGGACGTTATCTATATAGAAAACTAGGTCTTCGATATCGAGAAAGAATGGCAAGATTGATGTAACGCCGTCGTTGGTAATCCTACTGGAATAACTTTAAGAACACCCCAGCGACTTAGTCCGACTTACAAAAGTCAGACGTTTCCAGTCACAAATTTTCCCCCCTCCTCCCCTCTTATTTTTATCCTTTTTGTATTTTGAAAAAAAGAAAAAAAAAATACGTATATACCTAACTACACTTTGTCGTGTGACGTGACAAGAGGATAGCCGTCTGTTTACGCGTGCACGTCCACCAAATGCTCTTTCTTTTCTTTTCCTAGCCGCGGTAACGATGTTTTTTTACCAGAACTATCGCCTGTGTAGCCAAATCTTTTGCTCCCTTAACAATACGCGGATGGACAATACTACTTTTTATATATATATATCGATTTAAATTGAATTTTTCTTCTACAAATGAATTGACCCGTTCGGATTAAACGTCTTCTTAAAGATGATATTTTCTATTTTTTTTTTTTTTCGGCGCACGTACCGTCTGTAAGATCAAATAAATTTGGTCGTAAATAAATCTTTTTTTTTTTTACAGTTTCCTCTGTTTTAAATAGGTGCGAACTAACTTTGTGTTAAACGAGAGGAAAGGAGATTCGAGTAGGCATTTGCATTTCATTCGCTCGATACTATTTTCTTAAACGACAAATGAAAAATACGTGATTAGCCATATCGTAGATGGAAATGTCTCCCCTCGCGTGAGAACTCGATCGTTTCTTTTGTCGCTAAGCATACAAATTTTCGTATTAACCTAAATTCGTATAACAGTACGAAGCTGACTACTAACGATCACGAGTTTTTCTTTTATTAAGGAATTTTATTGTCGTAAAAAGTGGTATATATTATTAGACAGAAATTATGAGCTTATGCTAAATTTTATTCTTTTTTTTGTTCGATATTTTAGTCCAAAATCCGAACAAAATGATTTTAGATTCAAACACACTCCTTTCGTTAATTTATTAAATATTCTAATCAATAGAGTCGTGTATTCGAAACCATTTGTAATTAAGTCGACCCCCCTGTAACACTGTTGATTATTCCGTTTTATATGAATTCTATGTTGTACGAGTCACTTAGATTTTACAAATACGAGAGCCGTTCTCAGCCCGGCACACGTATTTGTAAAATCTAAGTGGCTCGTACAACATGGAATTCATATAAAACAGAATAATTAGCAGTGTTATGGGGGGTCGACTGTGTTCTTAAATGTTTAATCATTTCTTTTAATGATAAATGGGAAACTTATGCTATTAACAAATGCAAAACGTATCTAATTATGCATTCTTTTATAATTAAGGATAGTTTCCGCTTTCGTTGTGTCATTCGAATACGAGAAATACCTTAAAAAATGTACTCGTTTCGTCTTACAGAACGATAAATTTCTCTCCTCCTCGTAAGATAAACTATTAATGATATAAAAAGTAATCTTTGGAAGACAGCTCGAGTCATTAATACGGGGATGTACGGTACAAGTGTCGAATTTTAATAAGAGAAAATCTACCCGAAAGTCTGTCGGATAATTTGTCGTAACGAAGTTACTCGGAATGGAGAAAGAAATATTTCCTAAATAATTTTACACGTGGGGAGGAAAGATCGACGTTAGTTTAAAATTCGAATAACGTACGGAAGAGGAGGAGGAGGAGGAGAAAAAGAGAAGTAGATTCACGAACAAGGTGTTCCGTTAAGATAAAAATTTCCCCCAGTCGCGAGACTGTTAATTAATCCCAAGCGATGACACTGTCCTATTCGAAACAGGGCGTGTCGGGGATGTTAGTTTGCCTGCAACACCTTTTTTTTTTTAAGTAATACCCGACCAAGAATAACATCGTTAATCACTTCCCGCCCTCTCTCTCTACCCGCAATATTAGGATAATTGAAAAATTATATTCCCAACGACGAAAATAGCAAAAGGTTGCGCCACCCGCTCATTTTCTACTTTGCTGCCACATTCCTATTTATCGAATGACTGCGCTTCTAACTAAGCATCTTTTGATAGCCGCTCACTATACGCTTTTCTACACGCCATCTCTACTTCCTAAGTTTTTTTTTATCTTTGCTAAATTAACTGCTTTTCCTCCTCTTCTACTAGCAAGCGATTCTTTATAACTTCATCCATCTCTCCAACTAGTGTAAACGATTCCATTTCCAAACTCTCTCTCTCCTCTCTCTCTCTCTTCTCTTCCTGTCACTCGTAAGGCCTCCTTGATTTTCTTCTCGTATTTTTAACATATAACACGAGTAGATAAGTGAATTGATGCTTTAAGATGCTACATACTTTCTCCTTAACTGGACATTTCTATATCTTACATTTGCAGCTTTTAACTTAAGTTAAAAGCTTGTAAATGTAAAGTAACTTGACAGAGTATCGACGTATTCGAATTAACCCGAAAATAGAATATTAGATCGATAGAATGTAAAATATCGCGTCATACTGGCGCTAAAACTGATCTTTTACCTTTTGGAGTAACGTTAAAAACACCTATTCTAATACGATAAGTAAAGAAACCGATTCGAGTCTATGCTACATTATAGTTTTGCAAGGTAGTTTTAAGACGGTTGCAACGATAAAACTTCTTGTTTAAGTGTTACTTGGATTTCTCTTTTACTATTTTCTCGACTCAAAACACCAGAATAGTCGCTTTTCTTACGAAATAAATGATCCGTGAAGTCATTAATATTCATTTTTCCTTCTTCTGTATCCTTTACTTCGTGCTTCTATTTGTGTATTTTTCTAAGATTATACTACAGCTAACGGATACAATATCTTTATTGTTATTTATTCTTATGCGAAAAATGACATAATTATGAATAAAATAAAAGATGCCGCATTAAAAAAAGAACAAGCCTCATCGACCTGTCTGGACGTAAACGACAATAGAAACAGAACAAGTTTGTACGGTCTTTTACGTAAATAGTAAGGAAGATAAGATGGTTCTTGATGCCTCTATTCATTTAAGTGATGCAGTGAAGTGTTTTTTTTTTCTTAATTGCGGAATACGTAACAAGTGAAGAGGGTAGTCTTTAGGAAACAGTTTAAGTTTTTTTTTTGTGTGTGTGTGTATAAATATATTATTTGATTATTTTAGAATGCTTCGGATGATTCTAAATGAGAGAGGCATTCTGTTTCTGATAGGTTTGGCTCGACAAAGAAAAGAGCATTTATGAGTAAATGAAGCTGATAAGAACACTTGATATGCTCGGCATGCACTTATACGTAGAGTGTTCTATCGTGTCGAAAAATTCCATTAATTCTCAAGAAGCTTTTTAATTTCTTCAAATTATCAAGATTTCAAGTAAAAAATATGGAAAAGGATATAAAAAAAACGTGTATTAAAGTGAAGTTTGTATTCACTTATTCCTTTAAATTTAGGATGATTTATATACCATTTCCTATACTTCCATTAGTGTTTTCCTTAAGAAGAATTGTTTTATTAAATTAAATTTTACAACAGATGTAAATTTTTAAGTTGTATTGTCTATTGGAAGGAAGAAGAAGAAGCTCTTACCATATCACAACACAAGATTTCTTTAGGAAACAAAGCTCTCGGTGAGATAACATCACGTTTACAGCTACTAATAAATATCATCATATCCAAGCATCAATAGATAATAGCTTGGCCGATATTGCTCCTCACTCAACAATAAATTCATTATTATTAGCGTCACAAGGGAGAAAAGACAAGGGGAAGTGTCTAGTCTTTTTTTCCCCCTATCCTTTCACGTTATTGTTTTGTACTTAAATTTTAAAATGCGTGTCAAAACCTTGTGTTGCTTGCTACAAACACGTAAAACAGACACGTAAAAAGCTGGAAAAATGGAGCTTGATAAGTAGAGTTTTGTCTAGTCTTTTGGGGGTAACACGAAAGGAAAAGCCAAGTGATCGATGGCATTTAACATTATGAGGATTTCTAAAAAGGGTATTCGTGCAAATCCTATCCTTTCAGATTTATCTAATAAAAATATTCGTAGAAGAATTACTTAACAATGTCAACTCGGCCATCTATTAACGTTTTGTGTAGCTAAACAAATAAAATTTTAACAGGAAAACTCCCCAGTTTAAATTTTATTATTATTATTATTATTATTATTAGCCAACTCGGTGGCTAATTAACTCGTTATTGTGGTATTACCGGTGCGGTAATTCTTTTACTAACTTAATTTTTGGGCGGGATACAGGTTAATTACCCACTATTAAAAATATAATTTGCGAAACTGGATTAATTCTGCTTCCATTACTCAAGTGTCTGGTAAACTGCAATCTAACAGTAGCTGCCTAGTTAGTCGGATAGTATTACAATACTTTAACAGATAAAAGAGGCGTGTAAAGAGCTGCCTTTCGTATGAGAAATAGTTACAAAAATAGTCTGCAGAGATACGTAGAAATAGTACGAGAATGATTGCCAGATCAATAACCATCATACGTAATAACGTAACAATGTAATAACTCGTTTCGTAATACATAAGAAACCGAATTTTTTACAGCTGCCCCTTTCTCCACGTTTTATTTCGGATTCGTAAAAGATTTCTGAGTTACTTTTATATATAAGATTAGTGTGATTTTTATTCAGGACACGAAAGTAAAAATCGCAATGTAGCAAAAGTAGTGATTTACGTACACGAAAACCGGCTACATTATCGGCTTTTACCCGGATTTAAGGTATAAGTTCGATTTTGTCAATGTTTCTTCCCCCTTTTTTTCTATACTGAATGTCACGTATACGCCAAGAAAAATAATAAAAAAATAATAGAAGAAATTTGGGTGGGTAAGATGCGTGGTAACGAAGCAAGAAACCGAAAGACTCGATATTAGTAACACGGGAAATGCCCATACATGCTGTAATTACGTAGTTTCTTGTAGGCTGATTAATTGCCTGTATTTTGAAAGATAAATATTCGAGGGCATTTAGATAATTTCTACTGTTTTTTTTTTTTCTTTACAGACTGAAGCAAACATACCCCGATAAAGCAAAGCTCTCGATAAGATAACCATCTGGTTTACGACTGCTTATAAATTTCCTGCTGGGATAGTAGACTATGATGCTCTTCATATTGCTCCATTACAATAAATTCATTAATGTTAGTTGAATTAATAAAGAATAGAAGTAAAACGATGCATACCCCATTTGATAATTGTCTTCCTCTTTTTATTTTCTAGTCAAAATTGTAAATAAATAACACCTTTTAATAGGGAAAAAATGTATTCTTATTTATTCCGGGATGATCTTGCTTCGCTTCGATTATGATTAAGTACTGTACATTAAAAAATATTATTTAAATTATCGTATCGATCGATAGTATTAATTGTAATCGGTATTATATTCTGTTGAACATGAAATAAATTCTGTAACAACTCATCCCTTTCGGTTTCCATGTATACGAAGAAAGAAAACTGACCTCTCTTCTAACGTAACGGATGACTAATTTTGTGAAGAATATAGAAAACTTTTCTGTATTTACATATGAATTATACTGTTTTTAAATGAAGAAGAAAGTTTTTTTATTCAGACTTCAACGTTCTTAAAACGTTGCTGCATTGTGGGTGTGATATTTGGCTTTTCTTTAAGAGCAACAATATAAGGCCACCATTTTGCTTGTTACCAGAGAGATCCTGACACAAAACAGAAACGTCAGCATCGGTGAAACATTCCCTAAAGGTATATATGAGATATTGAAGATCTTTAATGATTTCTGCAACTCTTTGTAGTTGGTGCCTCTTCGCAATTCTTGAAATGCTCCAGTGTCTATGCAGTTTTAATGCTTTTTTCAAATTTTTATATAAAGTCTAAGAACTTTGACAATTCTTGAATATTTCGCTTGACAATTTGGAAAATTTCAAGCATCGAATGAATTATCAGAGTTGAGAAGAATAGAATTGTTTTCTATTTCTTGTTAATTTCGACTTCCTCCCATTCGTGCAAAGAGGAACGAATGAGGATTATTCTCCTTCGAGTGACAATTACCGGTGGTCAACTAGATAATGTCTCAGGATCCGGTCGGAAGGATGACAAATCGGTTTTCGATTGGCTCCTTTAACCTTTACGTTGGCACCATACCAAAAGGTCGAAGGCGGAAGTAGGAGGACGGAACCCATTCAGAACGGAAGTGAGACAATTCCGTTGATCTCTACCGGAACGGTCAACGAGCTGAAGAGATTCGGCACGAAATTATACAGATTAACGAAACAATTTTCTTTTAATTTATGATAATAAATCGGGCGAGTATCGTTCACCCCATTTCTCGACCATCCGTCATTCTATAACTCGCACCGGATGTCTACATAAATTACGTCAGGAGAGGTCATCCATTCCTGTATTTAGTCTGCAAGAAAAAAAAAAAAACGCGGAAATACGCTACTTTCCCGCCTTGGGGGTGAGGAGGATGGTCGTTGGCACGCGACGGTAGCCGCCGCCTTAAAGATGGCGCTAAAAATCGTCGATAGGTGGCGTACAAATACAGCGGAAAAGGGGGCGCTAATAAGTCACGCCAGCGTATGCAAATGCGGGATCCGATTTTCGCTCCGCCGCATTCAATTTTGGTCGGGTGGATGCCTCGGGCTCGGACCGCATTAATTGTAGCTCGTTAAAGACAGAACTTGAAATATTTATATTGGAAAATGCACCACCTCCGACACGAATACCCGGTGCCACGCCTTACCGCAATTCTACTGAATCGCGTGCTTACAAACGTCCAGGTGTGGTCCTACCCGCTGGACTTTCAGTTACGAGCGCCACCGTTCGCGTGCGGTGAGGATTTCGAATCCGGATCTTACCAAACCGCCCCCTAATTCGAATCGGCCGCCTCGTTGGCGCCCTCCCTCCCGGTTGCATCAATATTTACATACGAATAATAAATTTGGAGTAAGGTTGAGACGAAGTTAGTGGGAAGAAAAAGAGGAAAAACCTCGATTTAGCGTAACTTTCGGTAGTGTTAAAAGATAAAACACCATCGAATACGTTATAAACGAGGCAGTAGTCGGAAAAATGTGGAAAAATTCCCAGCTACCGACTCGAGATTACAGAGAGAAATGTAATTCCATCAGAAGAAGATTAGAGCAATAATACTTTTGGAAACAGGATACGCTAGGGATTAATCATTCCTCCTAGAAACTACGCGGCCCCCGATATCTCGAAAAATGTATTTTCCCGAGTTTTTGACCAAATCTACTTTCTTCTTCTTCTTCTTCTTCTTTCATTTTGAACAAATCAATCGAATTCCGCTGGACATACCCTTACTAAGACACTTTCTTGGGAAAAGATTCTGCAACAGGAAACGTGGAAGAAACACAGGAAAGGGTATACAAATGAACAGTCATTCTCGTAAATCGGGATTATCCCAAGCATAAAGTCTAACGTCGTACTACATTTGGATAAACTAGTGGAAGCGGGGGGATGGTGATTTACTCCCTACTTGTCGTCTCCTTTTTGAAATTCGCACGTTGTAAAGGTTCGAGCGGAAAAACGGAAAATGCACGAAACTTCTCCCTCGCGTAAGATGATAAATATTAATATGTGTCTTACCAGATTATTACGGTTTAGGAATGGCGATTCCCCCATTATTTCCGCTATTTCGTTCGCATCTCGTAAGTTTCTCGCTTTCCGGACCATCCGAAAATAGGGGCGAGCATCTCTTTAATCAATAATAACGGGAAATTTTTCACTACGATTTTAGGAATTGTAACGTAGACTAATTAACGAGGGGTTTTCTATATAGATACTATAGAAAAGTAAGAAGATGACGGAGAGTATTCTGTACGTAAAGAAAATAGAGATACCACAATATAGAATAGGCAATTTATAAGGAAGAGCGGAAGGAGTTTATAGCATTGGGTCGGTAACCTGGACTATTTACTAGTGTATATTATCGAGAGAGTAGTTTAATTTGACAAAAGAGAATATCGTTACCATAAATTCTCATCTCTTTCTCCGCCCGAACCGTTTGGAAGGAGGGAGCTTCCGCCGATACTTCGCATCGATATCTGCCATCGGAATTTAAGTCGGTTTTGTACAGATACACTCGACCGAGTTCTGACTTCACTAGCTGGAACATAAAATGTATGAGTGTACAAATAATAATGGACAAGTTAAGTACCGACATTAACACAAACCTTAATTTCTAACGAGTTATTAATCCGGACAATCCCCCGCGCGGTCGCCTCGAATAACTAACTAATTTATTATCTCCGATATGTGTCCCCCCTTAACGGTTATTCACCGGGGAGGGGCCGGGGCCGATCGTCACTTCCGGTTCCTTTTTTTTAACTTCCCTCTTCCGCTTAGTGAAAAAAAAAACTTCGAAGCGGAAACACGTGCCATAGTTTAGAAGGTTATTGTTCTACTCACCCCTTGTAAAGAAAAGATCTTTTGATACGTTTCCATGGTAATTTGGCAACGCGTAAACGGTTCTACGCGGTAAAATATGTAATAAAATTAGTGTCGATGGCCCCCGAACTTAGACTAAGCGCAATTAAAAATTAAGGAAAACGAAAGTAGGAAAAAAATTAGAAAGGGAAAAAGAACATACGTCGAGATAGATACCGAGAAGATCGTACTTCTGAGCGGGAGGATGATCGCTTGGTAAGTACCGGTAGAACTCCAGATTGTTCTTGTACCACTTGATGGAATAAAGCTCGTCCGTCTCGATATCAAAAGAACAGTTGAGCCAAACGGGTTCTCCGTGGACAACAACCCCCGGCACTTCCAACTTGGAGAGGCGAAGTCCCAGAACACCTAAAATAAAACAATACGTTATTATATTATAAAACCCACTTATACCAAGTAAGATTTTCCTATTCGATAAACTACTCTATTCTGGGATGCAAGAGAGAAGGAAACATCTTGAAAAATGTCCTACTGGATGGAAAAAGTGTGGCGTCGTCGAGTCGGCAAACCACTTTCGTGATTCGGTTGCCATTATTTCCACGTGGAAACATAACAATGGACATACAACTGTTCCTCCTCCTCCCCTTTATAACTTTAACTTCTACAGTGCATTAGGTGTTGACAGTAGTATTATACTTAGATGGGATATTACTATAAAATATATAGGCTACTTAGTTTGCGTGGTAAAAAAGGAAGGACAGTAATATAATTCGTGATAGGTTGTCGACTATAATATATTGTACGTTTGTTGAATAGTTTCGCCTAGGGCTTACAAGAAAATTCACCTATCGGTTTTTCCAGATTTTAAGGATTACTAAAGACGATAAATCCATCTGAGAAAAGATATGTACTTCACCAAGGAAATGCTGCTGCTGCTGCTGCTCCTGAAAGAGAAGTTTCAATTCCGAAAAGGAATCGATCCGTTAGAGAAGTAGAAGAGAGACTTATTTCGATATCTGTAATTTCACATCGTAATTTTATAAAGTCTGAATACCGTATTTGATTATTATTGAAGTATCATTAAGATCTTTGTCTTCTTCCGCTTTCAACTGAATTACAGTACATTATAAAACAATATAATTCCGGTAATTCGATACGTAAAATGCACGACGGTCGAAGAAATTTCTATAATAAATATAAATTATCGATCATTAAATTGAAATAACGTAAGTAACGATAATAATATAAATTAGAAGAATTTGTGTGGTCGATTTTTATACAAATGGATGTAGTAGTAGTAGTAGTAGTAGTTTCTCCAACTTCGCTTACTTTTCCAACTTTTCTTTACTTAAAGAGAGATCGCGAACGACTGGTTGAAACGTTTTTTTCTTAACAATAAATCGTGCAGAATCGGATCAATTAACTGTGACGTCAATTAACAGTAAAATTTATCGGTCGTTAATTTTCTCAACTCTGTTCTGTATCGTGTAGAGTTATTTCTCAGCTTTTTTATTTAAATAATATAAACAGAACGAGTACTTCTTGTTACATAATTTAATTACTACATCTAAAACCACGTGTTCATATTTAAGGAATGAGGCTGCCATGTTGTTTTGGCACTCTGTAGTGGTTGTTTCGGTCGATAGAAAGTAGTGGAAACAATCAAAAGAAACTAATTAAACACTCCGTTTAAAAACTCCATTGTGTATTGTGGATCAGATTATAAATTATTGATTGTTTTCGGTTGACTCCCTTAAAATATGACCGAATTTTAATTTAAAAAGGGGGGGGTTTAATAAAGTAATTTATTCAATAATTTTTCCAAATTTCAATTTTTAAAAGGATATTTTTGTCTCTAGAATTCTTAATTTTAATCAATAGTAATATGCTTTCTGTTACAATTTTAAGGTACAATTGACTCGATTTACGACCTCTAGCTTTATAACCCCGTTATAAATTTCCTATTGTGACTTATGAAATGTTATAATAAGAAATTTTCTTTTTATATGCAGTAATTTAAACTCAAATTTAATAGGAACGTAATCTCAATTCTTAACACAACTTGAAACGAAAGGAGATGTTTCGATTTACGACGGCTCTCTGAGAACCTATATACATTCTTTCTGACTTAATAACAATTCTAACGTGTATTTTCTACTGTAAAATATCTTACAACATTAAAAACTGGCCTCGAAACGTATTGTATCTTCAAACAACCGAAGCTAATTGATCTCAATTAATTTAGATCAGCACTTTAGTAACTTTTACTTATTATTTTGATATAAGTATAGGGTTTTTTTTTTGGCCAAAATTCTATTGGTTTATTGAGTTAAACCGTAGAGAAGAAACCCGACGATTCAAGTGTTGGAGATGAAATCTATTGGTCGAACGAGGTCACAGTATCCATTCAAGTTTTCACGTTTTACTCCTTCTTCGTTCCACTCGGGTTCGAAGTCTCCATTAGCGGAAAGACCTTTAAAGTATGGCTTTTTTTCCTGATCTTTAAAGAATTTTTTCTACTGGAAATTTTATACTTTGTATGAAAAGAAAATGGAAAAAAAGACGATTATATTACGTGACCCGTATCGATAAAAATTACAGTTTTTATCTCTTTATTTTTAATTAATTAATAATTATAAAAGTCTCTTTAAAAGACTTTCCCCTCTCCCTCTTCCCTTCCTCTTTAAAGGAATTTAATTTGATTCTAGGGACAATACGGTATCTCATATTTACGAGCAATACTTAAAGCTTTCATTATAATATATATATATATATACATATATTTAATGTATATCGGTATAGAACTAATTAATTAATTTAAATAAATGTTCATCAATATGTAAAGGTTTACATATAAAGGCATAATACGTCTAGTCAATTAAACCGCGTTGATTACATAATAGTGAATTATTTAGTAATTGAGTTTGATATAAAATAACAACAAACATCTGTATGAATTCATTTGCATTTTAATAAAGTATTATAATAAAAATTCCATACTAAAGAAATTGGAAGAGAAAATTGTTACCTTCATTCAGATTATAAAAATTCGATTCTACTAAGAAACCGGAAGGAAACATTCGAATTATTTGTGTCATTCCCTTTATTAAGTCACGAATAGACTTCTTTTCTAATGAAATTATGATAAGTGTGAATCTTACTAATGGAAGATCCGGTGTCTAAGGGTCCCCCCTTTGGTTGTTTCTTTCTTTTCCTCTTATCTCTGGCCAGCCATCACTTCCGGTTTTATATTCCGATTGGAAATGCAAATGTTACCAATGGTGACAAGAGGAGAGGAGTATAGTATGTTCTTGTCATTCTTACCGTCTAGGTCATTACTCTTAACACTTCACTATAGTAAAGTCTCAATCAACTATTGTAGAATCTTATCTGATCTTTCTGTCAAGTAACGGAGAATTTAAAATACAGTTCGTGTTTAAAGAATTTGTTCCCTGTCCTATCTGTAAACAATGCAAAACTGCTGGCCCGAAACGAACGGGAAAAACACCGTTTTATCACATTTTTGCAACACATGCAACCGTACGTATTCTACGGGATGTTTTAAAAATTTATAAGATAATTTAAACACGTCTTGCGTAGGTCGACATTAATAAATAAAATGCATCTTCTATCCACCACTTACGACGCCAAGGTGCAACCATATGCATTCGCTTTTACGAGAGATTCTTGAATAATTCATGAGTATAATTTTATATTAAAATAAAAGAGACATTATGGTAGAGATAACTGCAATAAAATCTCGTCTACTCGTGTGAATAAATAAAAGAAAGCGCATATTTTTTTTTTTTGGTGGAACCGTCTTTTTAATGCCTCTTACCAATGCGTTAAATGTTTCTCCGTCGGTCGAATAAACTACATCCTCCGACAGTACTAAATCCGTAGATAGAGCGAGTTCAATTATAACAGAGGGCAGAGAACTTTACAGGTGCTCTGGACTAGGTACAGTACTTTTACATACACAATTTTTATCCAATTAAATCGATCTGGTTCATACTCAAATAGTCCTGTCACTGTTACATGCGTTACGCCTACAATTTTTATTGTTTTAATCACACATTTCGTTAATAAGCCATCATATATTCTACCTCTTGTAATGACACGAAAGAATTTTCTTTAATCCCAATAAATCCGATTCAGTCCCGCCTTAAAAATGACACGTGTAATCTTTAGATCTTGATCGGTACGTGTGGGGATGTCTTATTCACCCACACGTATCTTAACGCTAACATTCCTCTTATCTTACAGAGTGTTTCCTTCATCCCTTATACATTTTATTACTAACTATTTGCAATTATATGTAAGTTATTCAATTTTCATGTAAATTTAAACACGCTTTTACTGAATTCACGTACTCGGTTTACTAATTGCAGCAACTAAGAGGAAGTTAAATAAAAATAATAAAAAAAAATCTTTATTCTGGAATCCATTAAAACCAAAGTTATTTGCTTTTCCTGGTTACGTTCTACCCCTATAACACAGTTGATTATTCCATTTTATATGAATTCCGTGTTATACGAGTCACTTAGATTTTACAAATATGTGAACCGTTCACAGCTCGGCACACGTATTTGTAAAATCTAAGTGACTCGTACAACATGGAATTCATATAAAACGGAATAATCAACAGTGTTATAGGGGGGTCGACTGTGTAAATAGCTCAGTTTGGTTTAACATACGGCGGCGCAACGCATGAGCGATCTGCCAAGGAAGGATTTTCTATGGGAACCAGCTCCTATTTTGGTGTTAGACACGTGAAGAAAACCGAAAAAACTTCACGTGCTAGTCCGTTGTAAGGCGCGAATCTGAGACCAGTGTTTAGTGGTTTCATCCACTAAACGAATATAAGGGAACAACTGTTCCAGATCTTCAATAAATATAAAACGAACAGCACTAATTGAAAATCGGATGTGTTCATCTTACCGTTCTCTGCTGAGGACATTAAGTGAACAGATTTGACTGTCAATGAATCAGAACTGTCCATTTTTATTGTACTGTACAGTAGAATATTTATTAGTATCTACGAAATATTAATATAACGAATATTCTATATAAATCAATCGAATAACTTGTCAACTATGCAATGAAACACAATTTAAAAAAATGGACAAAATTGAGGCCGATGAATTNACCCCCCTATAACACTGTTGATTATTCCGTTTTATATGAATTCCATGTTGTACGAGTCACTTAGATTTTACAAATACATGAGCCGTTCACAGCCCAGCACACGTATTTGTAAAATTTAAGTGACTCCTACAACATGGAATTCATATAAAACGGAATAATCAACAGTGTTATACGGGGGTCGACTTTGTAGTATAAACTGTGTGTTCGTAATTATGTGAAACTATTTACATACCCCATAAGGAGCATTGCAAGTCTATTAA